GAGTGTACTCCCGTACTCCCAACGTCAGTCATATTCGCTCATGTCAGTCGCCTACTTGCCAAATAAGGTAGGCCCCGATGTGTTCTAGTGCTGTGACGCCGGTTTTAGATCAGTGCCTCTGTTGTTTTGAACTCATTTGCCGAAAATAAAATAACGACTGAAGCGACGCGACTTCGTCGGTCCCAAAGAAGACTGGAAAAAACAAAAGCAAGAAGAACGTCCCATCCAATCGGGTTTTAGATGGCTGGATCTTTTCTTCTCCGCCCCGTCCCAACAAAATAAGACGCTAGCCATCCGCACAACAAAATGTCCAGACACCAACAACATTGAGAGGCCACCCCCCTTCAAACGAACCGTTTGATTATGTGGGTCATCTACTTGAAATCCATGGTCGCTGGTAGGAAGAGTGAGAACCATCGACCAATTCTGCGGCATCGTCTCTCGGCTCCGTCGAAGTGGTCGGGTCGCAGCGAGCCGTACCGGCACCCGTTCTGAGCCGTTTCTGGACCGGTCCGGTTCCCACCAAAAGAAAAAGGAATCAAACGAACTCCACCTGTTCTTAGGAATGGGCGGATCTTGGAGGATGTTTCACTTGGCTTTAAGCGCCAGTCCCTTTTTGGAAAGGTGTCAGTTACAATAATGGTTCAAGTCTTTTTCATAGGGTGCCCCAGTCCATGTCTTTGCAGGGGGGTACTTTCTGGCTTGGTTTCTGCACCGATCTTCTCGTTAGACACGCGAACGCGAACGCGAACCGGTGGAATGGCACCTACAGCTCCCGCGAGGATTGTGAAGAGGGACGCCTCTGAAAGGGCAGGCCACGCCTGACGGTTGGCGATGCACCGTGGATGAATCGAGGAAAGTGATCTACTTAATTACTACTTAAGCTGTCTAAGCCCCAGGCAATGGACGGGCTGTTTCGAGTGCGAGTGGAATTGTCGCGTCCTTTGGGTCTGAATTCCACGCACTGCAACGTTCATGTTGGAACCGCAGTGGTTTTCAAGGGGGGGTCCCGCATGATACGTCGATCATCTATAGTATATACAGACATGCATGTATATATACTACACACACACACAAAACAAAAAATGCATCCAGAATCTAGAACATTCTAGAACATCAACCAGGACACAGTAAGGCCTTGGAGGAGACATCCACAAACAGAGAGCAACCAAAAAGTCGTGGAAGTCACTGCTTCAAGAACTTCCCTCCTCTTCCCTCCCCTTTTTGAGATCCTGCCTCACCCCTCCTTTTTTTTCACCCAGGCCTCCATGTGCTGCCAGAGGATTCACTTCCATAGGCACCACTGGAGTTGCCAGTGTCTGCCGAGAGCGAAGTGGACGCACTGGCCTCGATGGAGATGTCCCACTCCGGAACCTCATCGGGGGCGACAGATCCGTCGAGACGGCGGAGGAGAGCCCGTGTAGTACTGACCTACCCCAGACACTCCATGTATATGCCATATATGCCTACATCGACCCCCCAAACCACCCCAATGTATATAGGCATATATGGCATACATGGAGTGTCTGGGTACGGGACTGGTTGGGAAGTGCTTAGGGTGACGGACGTGGACGACATGTCAGAATCCAACACTGACATCTCAGCTAAAACCTCCACAACCCCAAAAAGCGGTGTTCTGCCTGTGCGACTTCCCCCGCCACCCAGCCGCAACGGAGTGAGAACACAATGGCAGCGGATATTTATTCAAAATAGTTCAACCAAAAGGGCCAACAAAGTTCAACTACCGGCCGTCACGTTCGACGGGGTGCTGAACGAACGGAGGGTGCCGTTGGGTTGCCCAGCATCCACTCACTGGATGGGACGAGCCACACCACCCCATCTTGTGACTGGTAAAGATAACTAAAGATATATTCTTGGTCGCAGTCTCTCTCACCGTTCTTCGTTTCTCGCATCCAAACGCACTCCGTGCCCGATGTTCAGCGCCTATCGGTCCGAGTGCCCGGCACCACGGTCAAACCTTCGGGCGGTCCGAGCATACCTGCAGTCGGAACCCGGGGGGGGCAGTGTCAGTGACTGGCAGTGATCGGACGGGGGTTCATCCGGGTTGATCTGCAAGTGATCGGCCCAAGATCATATCACCTACCTGAGTAATGGCCATCACTATTAGGGTGGAGGCCAGCGCTATGAGGTTGGAGGCTTTCACTATTCGGTTGGAGGCCATCGCTATTAGGTTGGAGGCCATTGCTAGTAGGTTGGAGGCCATTGCTGCTAGGTTCCATGAGAGAAACTTCTTTTGAACCTCCAATAACTCCCCAACAAGATAGTGTCACGTCCTGCCAAAGGAGGTTCAAATGGGTTCTAGGATGTTCTCGGAAAGAATATGTAAACAAAACAAATGTTACATTGAAGAAATTGGAGACTAAATATTGCTGTCTATGTTGTTTTGTGGATAGCAAATAGCAACATCGATTTAGATGATTGGAGACTGAGTCACAGTTTCTGTCCACGTGATACCAGGTTTCTTTGTGTTCTTTGGATATATGTTCCCAAACCCATGCCACCATGTCTGAAGGACATACTGATCAAGAAGAAGCTACGAAACTCCCGGATCAAACACTTCTGGTCTTGGTATATTGTTATTATGTCTTGGTCAAATGATGTCAAATGTAGAAAGCAAAAGACACACAAGAAGAGTCCTAGAGCCCCATGAAATGAGCACAAAAAAGCTCTCGTGCACGGTAAAAATGGTCCATCTTGGCTAAGGGTCAAGAGCGAGCGGCACAAGGCTTTTTGGATGAAATGTCGTGTCTGTGTCATCCAATCTGAAAAGGTTAGGTCCCCGGGTTTTTGCACGCATGGGTAGTGTTGCCAGTCTAATGAGAATCACGAATTCCAACCATTGAATGGGACTTTCCTTTGCTCTGTTGCTTTGGCATGCTTTGGCATCCGCACTGTGTGTTTCTTCAGTTCTCCTCAAGAACTTTCAAGCTCAACATCCACCTCTTGAATCCTCTTGACTAATAGTCCAAGTCTAAGTCTAAGTCCTAAATTCTTGCTGTTCATCCCTCTTCCAAAAGGGCATCACATGGAAACACGTCCCAAGCTCCAACCGCCCTAAGTTTCGGCCCCCCCCGCCTGGAGCGCCAGCCCGGAGCGCGCTCCGCGCGCGCGAAGGGGCTCTCGAGCCGGGCCAGTCCCAGTGGTGACCTGGTCACAGATGGTCGATCCACTGGTGGAGTCGGGTCCACTCCATTCACAGGTCCACCTTGGGGGACCCAGAGTCCGATCCCTCTATATATTATGGCCTTTTGGTGGCACCAGGAGACCGGCCGGTTGACCTACCTGGTCAAGTTTGGTGGTGGACCACGGCTAGGGGTTTTGATCCATCCCCATATGAGGGTCCAGGCGGTCCAGGGTCGCATCCGTGAAATGTCACTGGCTAACCAGAAAAGAACACGCCGTGTTTTCTAGGATTTGACGACTGATTGTCCAGCCATGACTTTCTAAGATGGATTCGTCAAAATCCTCCAGAAATTAGTTCCACAAAAATGAGCCCTAGGGCTCCAAGTACCTTCTGACAAGGTGTTTGGGGTCGCTTTGGAGGGTCCAAATACCTTCTGAGGAGGTACGACTGGAGCCCTAGGGTGAAGTGCTTCTCTGCAACGAATGCACCTGCAAGGGATGGATGGTTCATCCGCTGGATGCGCCTCAGGCACCGGCACCTGGCCGATCATTTGGGAGAGGCGAGAGCGGGCATCGCGGGCGGAACGTGTGGTGTCGCGGGCGTCGTTTTCCCTGTACCACTTTGGGAGAATTGGAGGAAAATCGATCACTTGCTTGGAAACCCCTTTTGCTACGGAAACAAGCTAGGCTGGGGGGAGCGGAGGACACAGAACGCTTGACTAAAAAAAATAGCTTTATCAGGTGCAAACGCATGCCGTCCTGGACGGGGGCGGGCCAAGTTGGTTCATCATTTGACATCTTCAGTTCTGAGATCTTCTCAGGAATTTGGGGATCGGACAGTCGACTGTGGCGGTGAGTGGCCGTGGGATTGAAAAAAAGTGGAGCCTGGAGCATCGCTGGACTGGGGTCACCGGCGGCTGGACTAGCTGCTAGCTGCAGGAAAAAAACCGATGGATCCTTAGGGCATCGCTATAGTGCTCAGGAGCCTGGTAGATGAGTTTGCACAACACAGCGAATGAACTGCCCACTAAAGGACTGTTTTTTTTTTCATGTAGAAAGTCATCCTCAGTGTCAGGAGGTGTTCGTTGATGATTCATACCTGGGAGACCAAGGACAGGAAAAGCCCTTGTACTTTCAGTTGCCTCGGGGCTTAGATTGTGTTTCCTTCCAGCGTCTTCTTTCCACCTGGCCTCCTCACGGGCGAACTGAGATGGTGACAAGGCCACCAACTACACCTCTCTTCAAGGTGCCTTCATGGCATCTGTCTAACACGATCTAACACGTCTTTTTGTGATCCGGAGCGCAGAACTTTATCCAGGTTTGTAGTAAATCATGTCGGAGCTTGAGACGACGTCCGGAGCAACTTTGCCGCAGCCGGAGCTGGAAAACTAAACAAGTTGATGAACATGAATGATCCAACAACTTCACTGCCAAAGACCCAGCGAACACGTCAAACTCTGTGATCTCGGTCAAGGTTGGGAGTGGCCAATGATCAAACAACTGATGAAGCCGCCAGATGGTATCCGTGTATAGTAAATCCAAGTATATATATATAGAGATCTTGAGCCTCATCTCCGGCTAGTCACTCTAGTCTTTGGCCACACAGGGTACGGGTATGGGTCAAAATGTGACCACCACAGCTTGGTCGTCCTAGAAGACCCACAAAGGTCTTGCACGATTCCACATACCCACCTTGAAAGAGTGCTTGGAGGAATCGGTGGTCAATCCTCTTAAGCAAAAACAAGCAAAGCTTCTACTTGTCTTGTGGTCAAACTTCGCATGATATGAGAATCGATCATAAGATTATTTCATGTGAAATCCATCGAACTTCAAATGAAGTGAGTCGTCAGCAATGAGTCCATCTCAGTTTGGACCACCAAACTCCTTGCCAATTCATCTCTCTCAAGTCCTCCAACCTGCAGATCACTCACGGCCGCGCATTGGCAGCACTGATCCACAACGCCAGCAGAAGGCTGCGTCTTTCCGATGAGGAGTTGCTTGGCACTTGGGGCATACCTGATCATGAGATCGCTGGCACATTTGGTGCTGGTTTCAACCTTGCCACGTCCAGTACTTTTCCACACCCCGTATGTTGGCCCCCGCTTTTCCCGCAGCAAATTTGGCGTCCAGAAATTCTTAACCTCCCAAGACTCAACCCCTCGACGACATGTCGTGCCTGATGGACTTCGGTCTCCATGTGGGTCTCTACCTCGGTCTCCATCTCTCCACGAACGTTCTTCATGAAGACTTCCTGCGTTTCAGCAAGTTAGACATGGCAGGGCAACCGAAAAGGCAAACCGCAATTCTGAGCCGTTCGTCAGCCTCGCAATGCATCGCAAATCCTCCAATCAATGAACAACCCTGAACACTCCCAACACAACGTCACTCTCACGCCCCTCAAAAGACATCATCAAAGCACTTAGAAGCACCATGAAGCACCCGAAACCCCAGTGGACTCCAAATCCTTTGATGCCTTTCAACCCCTCCCCGAGTTCCCTTTCAAACCTACCTCGCGCCGAGGCTCCGCCAGGCGGCTCAACTGGAAGGGGATCACCGCGCCGCCCGCGAGGATCGACGCGGCCACCACCAGGCGGCCCGACGTGGTGATGGGCGTGATGTCGCCGAAGCCCACCGTGGTCAAGGTGGTGAGGCCGAAGTACAGGGCGGTGAAGAAGTCGGGGAACTGAGGATTCACATCCTCGACCGGGTGGTGAAAGATGAATTCAGAATTTGTGGAAGATCCGATCTGGGACAAACGTTATATAGGTCTAGGTTGCGATGGGCCAACTTCATGAAGAATTCAATAAACGCTTTGGGTTTTTCAGTGAGGTTTCCTGGTTCTTTGCGGGGAAGTATAATCTCAGGAGTTGTTTGATGACGCAACTGTTCGATGATCGTGTGAGACGAGACGAGATGTCATCCATACGTAGCTCATCCATGCTGTTTGCCTGAGACGTGCGGAGTCTGAAATTGTGAGATGTTCGGATGTATTGACCCCCCAAACCACCCCAATGTAGGCATATATGGCCTACATGGAGTGTCTGGGTTGTGTATGTTGATTTAATGATAGACTGTTTTACCATGTTTTATCATCCAAAATGGATGTGTGGTTGCATGAATTTTGAACAGTCCACCGTCTACGAGTACATATTGCATGTGATTCTCTTTATGGGGTGACGGCATTCTGCTTTGCGACTTCTTCTTGGAGTGAGCGATTCTCGCATGATTGGACCATCCAGGCGGACCATCGCGCTTGTTTCCTTCGTTGGATGAGTGGTTTGCACAGAAAATCACCTCGGGCGGCGCGTTTTCGGCCGAATCCAAGCGTCATGTTCCGCCGCGTAGATGGCTCCTGTGGCAGTGTAAAGGAGTGTAAAAATGGTCAGCAAGACGCGAGTCACCTGGGCGACGTTCGCGTTTTGACGGGTCGGGGTTGGGAGGTGAGTTCTGGCCCGCCTGAGAGTCTTCAAATACATGGAGTGCTTGCATGTGTTTGCCATATGTCTCACAGTTCATCCACCAAAAAGCAGGAAGAATCACTGGCACCACCCGGTTCACCACCAAGCTCACCTCCTTGGAACAAGATGTTCCATATCCAAAGAGACAATATATTCTTTCTTGCAAAAGTACGCGGCCAAAGATACTACAGTGCTCTATAGGGATCCAAGCACCTTCTCAGAAGGTGTTTGGAGACACTGTTATACTGTATATAGGTTTGGAGGCTCCAGTTATCTCCAGTTGTACCTTCTGAGGTTCGGTACGACTGTAGGAACTATAGTCTAAACATCAAACACTTCGGCGATTCCGATCGCCCTCCGATCCACTCCGGATTCACTCCCACCCTCCGAGCGATGGGCTGGCGATGTGTTCCACACGGAGTCCGGTACGAAAACCCTCGGCACGTTAACGAGATGGGTCAGGTGCATGAGGCGTCGTACCGAACCTGAAAACGGATGGATTCCGATGGATTCCGCTCTCTCTTCGGCCTGACCGCGGACCGCAACCCGATCGACTGCGGACCGCGGACCGCAACCCGGCCTCCAAGTATACGGGTGTCACGTAGTTGCGGTCGATGCCCAGGCCGGTGGCCAGGGTGAGGAAGGCATTGTAATCCTTCAGAAACCGTTGCAGCCTGAAGACCCGCAGGAGACGGAAGCCCGCGACGAAGGAGGGAGGACCACTCACGGACTCGATGAAGACAGGCAGAAAGGCCAGAATGTCAATGATCACCAAAGGCTTTAGAATGTAGCTGGGTCTAAAAGATCGAGAATACCATCGAAGCCAGAACTCCACGAAAAAACAGATACAAATTGAATTCTCGACCCAGTTCAGGGCAAACAAGACCTCTGAACAATTGGGTTCTTGAAGCACAGGGAGTGTGTCCACTGCAGCAAGGAAAGCAGACAGCAGGATGCACGAAACAATGATCACCTCCACGAAAGGCAACTCTAATAACTCCTCAATGTTCACAGAATATGGCAGCGGACCCCAAGACGCATGCTTGGCCCGACTCACAAACTTCCTGGGCTCTTGTAGGCTCAAGCCCTGCAGCTTTGAGTCCGGAATTCTTAAGCCCAGCTCTGTAGGCTTATTTATGTCCTCCACCTTTCGTTCCAGCTGCTTCGCCTCTTTCATCGCACGCAGCGTGTGACGTGCCCGCGCGGCCCGCGCGGCGCACGCGGCGCGGTGGGCCGAGCGCGTCAGGACCAGCGTCGCGGCCGCCGCAGCGGCGCAGCGACGTTGCGGGGCCTCCGGCTGCGCGCGCTGCTCGCACTGCGCGTGCGGCGCAGGGCGCGCGGCGCGCCGCGCGCCCTGCGCCGCACG